GTAATGTCTAGAGCAACAGCTGTGAACACAATTGAAAAACTTATCCAAAAGATTTCACATGTTAGAATGATGAGCCAAATCTAATAGGGTAAAATTTAGTACAGATAAATGTAAGGTTATACTGTTGATTTAAAAAACAAAACAAAACTAGCTTCTCAAATACCAAATGAATGGAGGCATGGCTAGACAACAGTTAGCTATGAAAAAGATTTTGAGATTTTAGTAGAGTACAAACTCTGTGGGTCAACAATGTGAAATTGAAGCAAAAAAAAGAGTTAATAGTTAAAGCCTATTCTAGGCTACACTAAGAGAGGTATAGGAATAGAATTTTTAAAAGTTAGATATGATAGATCTCTGATAATTACTTAATAGGCATTGAAAAAAGTATGAATATTTCTTAGCTGAACATGGAAACTTTAAAAAAAACTAATCATGTGCTACAGCATAAAACCCTCATCACCAAATGCAGAAAAATTAAACTCATCCTTTACTGACCATAATGTGACATAAATTATAATCAATAAAAGGCCTTTGAAGAAAGAATTCAAATTTAAATGAAGACTAAATTATTTAATCCTAAAGAATTGGTGGGTTGAAAAACAAATCATAGAAATAGATAATTTCATCAAAGAAAGTGACAATAATACACCAAAACTTTTGAGTTGCAACCAAAGCAATCTCTAGGGTACAATTTATATCTATAAACACTTATATCAACAGAGAGGGGGAGAGAGAGAGAGAGAGAGAGAGAGAGAGAGAGAGAGAGAGAGAGAGAGAGAGAGAGAGAGAGAGAAACAGGTTAATGAATTAGACATGCAGCTAAAAAAATGCAAGTGACAAATATAATTAGAAGCCAATATTTTTGGAAAAAAACTAATAAAGTAGATAAACCATTAGCTACTTTGATTTTAAAAAGAGAGGGGGAAAATGCCAATATTAAAAAGAAGAAATTAACCTCAGAAAAAGAAACTGAACAAGCCATAAATAAGCTCCAAAAGAAAACTCCCCAAAACCAGATGAATTTATAAGTAAGTTTTATCAAATATTTATAGAACAATGAATTCTAATATTTCATAAGTTGTTTGCTAAAATGAGAAAAGTAAGTATCTTATCAAATTTTGTCTATGATATAAATATGGTCTTAATACATAAACCAGGGAGAGACAAAGCAGAGAAGGAAAGCTACAGACCAATATCCCTAATGAACACCAAAACAAAAAATATTAAGTATTAGCAAAGAGATCACAGCAACATTAATTAGTGATATACTATGTGCAGGTTGGATTTAAACCAAGAATGAAAAATTGGTTCAGTATCAGGAACACTATAAGAGACCATATTAATAATAATAAATAAACATATAATAACAATAAAAATCACATTATTATTGCTTATAATAATAGCTAGCATTTATTTGATGCTTTATGATTTGCAAAGTGCTTTAAAAGTATTATCTCATTTAATCCTCACAACAACCCTAAGAAGTAGGTGCTATTATTTTCCCCATTTTACAGATGAGGAAACTGAAGCAGACAGATGTTAAATGACTTGCCCAGGGTCATACAGCTAGTAAGTGTGTGAGGCCAAATTTTAACTTAGGTCTTCCTGACTCCAGGTCTATCACTTTATCCACTGCACCACCTAGCTGCCTGATTATGTCAATAGATACAGAAAAGACATTTTATCAATATAATTTTGTTGTTCAGTCATTTCAGTAATGTCTGACTCTTCATGACCCCATTTGGGGTTTTCTTCGCAAAAATATTGGAGTGGTTTGCCATTTCCTTTTCTAGTTCATTTTATAGATGAGGAACTGAGGAAAACAGACTTAAGTGACTTGCCCAGTCAAACAGCTAGTAAGTGTCTGAGGCCAGATTTAAACTCAAGAAGATAAGTCTTTCTGACTTCAGATCTGGCATTCTATATTCACTGTGCCACCTAGCTGCCCTATAAAATACAATATTCATTTAATATTAAAAGCTCTAAAAGCATAGGAATAAATGGGCAATTCCTTATTATGGTAAATAATATTAATCTAAAACCAAGAAAATATCTTTCCAAAGGTATGAATATCTATTGAAAATCAAGAGCCAGCATGATATGTAATGTGGAAATGCTAAAGGTCTTTCCAGTATGGTCAAGGATAAAACAAGAATGTCTATTATAAACACTATTTAATATATAGCATTGGAAATTCTAACTATAGCAAAATAAATCAAAAAACCGAAACATGAACAAGTAAGTGAACTGGTAAAGAAGAAACAAAATTGTAACTTTCTTTTGCAAATGATATGATGAACATAACAGATTCAACTTAAAATTAATTGTTATTAATATTTGCCCAGGGTATTAGGATACAAAATAAAACCACATAAATCATCAGCTTTTTTTTTTTGCACATTACCGGAACCCATCAGGAAGACTCAAAATAATTACAGAATGTAATTAATGTAATACATGTAATGTAAAATAATATAATAAAAATATTTGAGAGTCCACCTACAAAGATAAAAACTGTGAATTCAATTACCAGACACTTTTTACAGAAATAAAGGCAGACCTAATTAAGAAATAGTAATTGCTCTTCGTTGAGCCATGCCAGTTTAATAAAAATGACAAGATTACTTAAATTAATTTGCAGATTCGTTGCTGTACCAATCAGACTACCAAAGGATTACCTTGTAGAGCTAGAAAAAAATAGCAAAATTCAAGTGAAGGAACAAAAGGTCAAGAATCTAAAGAGAAATAACTTTTTTTTTAAGTATAAAGGAAGGTAGCCTAGCCCTAGATCGCAAACTGTATTTCAGAGCAATAATCATCAAAATTATTTTATACGGGCTAAAAAACAGAAAAGTTGCTCAGTAAAACAGATTAGGTACAGAATATATGGAAATAAACAAACACAGAAACAGTGTTTCATAAAGCTAAAGATCCCCTAGTGCTGGAATAAGGACTCCATTTTTAACAAAAACTGTTGGGAAAATTGGAAAACAGTCTGGCAGGAATGAAAACATTTCCTACCATATCCCAACAGAAGCTCCAAATGAATAAATACATCACCAGCATATAAAAGGTCAAACAAACAAATCAGAGGAGCAAGGAAGGAGATATTTTCCACAGTTATAGGTTTGGGGAAGAAGTTCATGGCTAAAGATAGGATCACAAAAGATGAAATGGACATTTTTCGTTACTTAAAAATTTTAAACTATAAGGGAAACAGTTGACTGTAGTAAAATCTTTGCAGCAGGTTTCTCTGATAAAGGTGTAATATCCAAGAGAGATAAAGAACTGCTTCAAACATATAAGAACAAGAATGATTTCCTAATAGATAAATAGTTAAAGCACATGAACAGGCAAAGGAAAATAAAGCTATCAATATGGATTCAGCTTGGGGGAATTTATGTACTTATGAAGAATGAAGTGAGCAGAACCAGGTGAACAATTTATACAATAACTATGACATTATTAAGAAAAATAACTTTGAATGACTTGATCATTCTGATTAATGCTATGACCAATCATGACTCTGGAGAACTATATTATAATGCACACTATCTACCTCTTAATAGAGAGATGGGAGACAAGGTAAAGATTGAGATATCCATTTTCAGTAATGGCCAATATGTAATTTGTTTTACATAATTATGCTTGTTATATAGGCATATATATTTTTATGTTATGGGGAGGTAGGGAGAGAAGATTAGTAGTGGTGATCCAAAAACAAAAAGAGGGGTCATTATAACATTTTTAGAAGATTCACAAAACAGGAGAATTGAGAATGATGTGCAAACAGATGTGTTACGTACAATCATTTTATGTTCTATGTATTTGGAAATTCTCATATTTTCTGGTGTTTATGAAGTTCAGAATATAAATTTTTTTTATGAGAGAAGCCTAGAACAAAGAGGTAGTATGTCTGCTATAATTTTGCCCTGATCAAAGCATAATTTCAGGCCTTTGTTCAGTTCTTGTTACCACTTTTTAAGAAAGACATAGACAAACTGACATATGCTTGAGAAGAAAGCAGCTAGAACAAGTAAAAGGACTGGAGAACATGCCATATCAGGATCTGCTGAAGAAACAACTTTGGATGTTTAGCGTGGAGAAGAGAGGACTTGATAACTGCCTTCGGGTCTTTGAAAGGCTGCCATATTGGAAGAGGGATCAGACCTGTTTTCTTTGTTGCCAAAGGACATAACGAGGAGCAGTGGATGGAAGTTACAGTGATGAAGACAGTGTTAATATTTAAAAAAATAAAAAGCTTACAACAATTACAACTGTATAAACATGGAAGGGACTGCTATGGCGATTATCAGATTTCCTTCTCCTGGGGAGTGTTCAAGCAGAGGATGTTGTAGTGGGAATTCTTGGTGAGATACAAGTTGGATATAATGCTCTCTAAGGCCCCTTCTAATTCTTAGATTCAGTAAGAAGCACGCTAAAAAAATTTTTAAAGTTCAGTCTTTGTGCTCACTAAGTTCCATAGACGTGCAAGGAATACAAAATTGGACTCATCAGTTTTGTAACATCAACCTATCTCAAGGCCCATTTCAAATGCTGTCTCTTCTGTGAAAATCCTGATTTTTTTCCAGTTGTAAATGACCTTTTCTCTGAGCTCACATCACACTTTGTACTTTTCATACGCACTGACCACATTCTACTCTATCACTTGTGTATGTGTTGCATCACTATTGAATTAGTCTCTACCAAATAGCTTTCATGGGGGGCAGCTAGGTGGCGCAGTGGATAGAGCACCGGCCCTGAAGTCAGGAGGACCTGAGTTCAAATCCGGCCTCAGACCAAACACTTGACACTTACTAGCTGTGTGACCCTGGGCAAATCACTTAACCCCAATTGCCTAAAAATAAAAAAATTTAAAAAAATGACAAATAGCTTTCACAGCCTAGCTCAGTGCTCTGCACATTTTAATATGTTTGTTTGACTTGAATTAACATGGCGAAATATTTAATTTCTGTGTTTTTTCTTTTTCCTCCTTTAAGATACAGGCCTGCACAGAAAATGGACGGGCTTGGGGAAAGTGGCTCTAACAGCAATTTACACGCCACACCTGAGCAGTCAGTAGCTGCCCAGAGCCAACATCATCAGCAGTTCATAGGTGATGAAACAGAACCAAGTGACCTTGACTGTTTTTATTTCTCTTGGTTTCATAATGTTACTGATTTCTGAGTCAGACAACTTTCACTTTGTCTCCTGGGAGTCCAGGGTTGCTATGCTTTATGTTCATGGGTTTCATTGCTTAACTGTATAAAAAATAAGCAGTTGGTAGCTTTCTTACAATTAGTACCTTTTTCAGATATAAATTCTTCCCTTTTGGATTTCACTCAGTTCCTTAAGTAGTTATGGACAAACTATCTCTCTGATTCATCAGAAGTTTACACTGCTAGTATAAGTATACACCAACATAATTACTGACCTTAAGAAAACTACCAGGGGCAGCTAGGTGGCGCAGTGGATAGAATACTGGCCCTGGAGACAGGAGGACCTGAGTTCAAATGTGGCCTCAGACACATAACACTCAATAGCTGTGTGACTCCGGGCAAGTCACTTAACCCCAATTGCCTCACCCCCCCCCCAAAAAAAAAGCAAAAGAGAAAACTACCAGAATTCTGTGGTAAACCTTAAAACTAATAGATGTCTATACTGGACTCCTAGGTTTGTCATTTCCTGAATTTCAGGCCATACCTACCTGACACATTTCAATATCACATTTAGACATTCATAGACTGCCTTTCTTCTGTTACAGGCACCTAAATTCCTAACCATCTAGCAGCAGCTTCACTAACTTCTTCTGTTCAGGACTCAGTAAGGAGGAGGGGACCCTTCTATACTGATAATTGACACATTAGTGATAATTAGTTTAATCAGCTAGATAGTGAAGCTAATTTTTTGTTTTGTTTTGTTTTTGTTTTTTAGGCAATTGGGGTTAAGTGACTTGCCCAGGGTCACACAGATAGTAAGTGTCAAGTGTTTGGTCTGAGGCCGCATTTGAACTCAGGTCCTCCTGACTTCAGGGCGATACCTAGCTGCCCCAGGAAACTAATTTTTAAAGTTTATATATATAATATATATTTATATACACATATGTGTATACATATATATGTATGTGCGTTTACATATATACATATGTGTATATATTTAGAATTTTCATAGGCTGTATTAGTTGATCACAAACCCTGGAAGGCCCTACTGAAGCTGGGAAGGCCTCAAGTGTGGGCCTGGTGTAAGGCACATCTGGTATAAAGGGGCCTGCCTACTTGAGTTTAAAGTGGCTCATTACCAGGTTGAATGGAGTGTGAATTTTTTAGCCACAGCAATTCACGAAGACCATATATCGTCTTACAGAGAAGCTGCAGTCAGTGCCAATGGAAACAATTATTCATATTCTCAAAGTTCCAGATTCTTGAGTTATTAATGTGTGTATACATACATATACATAAACGTGTGTATGTATGTATTTTAAACATTGGCTCCAAATATACTTTTTGTGGGAGCTTTAGGAGAGAAAGGGACAGCTTCAGATCACCTCGGAAAGCAATGTGGGTATCTTCTAGGCAAGTGAGCTATAAGTAGTGACCTATCTTCCTGAAAACTGACACTCATTCTTGGAAACTTATCTAGTCTTCTTGATAGAACAACACAGTTTTCTCACTGTTATCCAAAGGAGATGTCTGACTACAAGTCAGCTAACTAATTTTAACTAATTTAACTGTCTAGATATTGTAGTCCTAATCCTGTCAGATTACAAGAAGGAGCCAGAGATGTGGGCAGTAAGCCCTTAGGGATGAAAATGAAAAAGACCGCCCTTTAGGACTCTCTCTCTACCCCTATCCCCTACCTCCACTCACTTCCCTGCCATCATGGTGAGGACTTTCTTGACTAAAAATAGATGTATTTGCATGGCACCTTTTGCTCTTGCTATAACTTTCTCTGTATTCCTTTGGCTATAGTGAGCTTAATAAAGATCTTAGATCTAGCTGCCGCATTTCTGTATCCATTTGCCAGCAGTACTAAGCAACTATAATTTCCAAAACTATTTCTGATCATATGCTTTGACCAAGCCTGTGTTTTCTTTCTCTGTGGATTCTGATCTAACTTTTGGTTTATCATTTTCCTAATGTTCCCTTTGCTATTATTTGTGTCTTTTCTACTCTCTAGATGTTTCCCATGTCTTTCCAGAGTTTCCAGCTCCTGACCTAGGCAGTGTATTCTTACAGGAGGGGATAACTGTGAATGACATAAAGACCCTACAGCTTCTTTACAGAAGACACTGTGAGGTGACTGCATTACCCTCTGGGTGGTCTTATTTTGTTATTTCTGCCTTAGTTCTAAAAAGTAGTAAGTTTGCATTTGGGAATTTCATTGCCTAAGTATTCTTATAATTATTATTGATGGATAATTCAACAATTCAACAAACATTTATTGAGTACCTAATATATGCAAATGTGATAAAAAATTTTAAAAAACAAAGCCTCTGCCTTCAAGCAGTTTGTGATTAACTTTGGGGTGGCACGGAACAGATTTAGTGTGCATTCAGTAGCATCCTGTAAATGTTTTATCATAGTAATCAATAAGCAAAGCAGTCTTTATTGTGACAACTGTGTGCAGAGTGTTGTGCTACTTTTGGGATACAGAGTCTAAGTAAGATGTGATTCTTTCTTTCAAGGAGCTCACACTCTTTTGAGGTAGTGAGTACAACATCCATCCAGACAAATATGATAAATAATAAGTGTATTTCAGAGTTACAAACCAAATTCTATGTGAGGTCTGAGGGGAAATGTCATTAGCAGTAAAGAGGATCAGGGGAGGCTTCCTTGAGCAGTTGAGGTTACCTTTAAAGGATAAGAAAGATTTCAGCAGGTAAATGGGGGAAAGGAGGGACATTTCAGGAATGAAGAGCAATGAACATTGTAAGTCTAGGGATAGAGACTAGAAAGCCCAGTGAGGAAGGTAGAGTGTGTGGAGGGGAGACAAGTGTTAGTGGAGCACCTACTCTCTCTCTGCCCACTACTGTGCATAGGAAAGATAGGGCCTGATTCCGGATTACAGAGTAGTTTCTCCCTCTGGGCAAGCCCCTGAACTAAGACCTCTTGTGCCTTTTGATCACCTAGTTGAGTGGCACTGTGGATGTCCCACACATCGTGTGCTCTCTTTAGTAACAATAAGAGCTCACATTTCTTTAACACTCTTAAGATTTTGCATAGTACTTTCCTTACAGAAACCTTCTGAAAAATATAAATGCAGTCTCCCTAACTACTGCAGGGCATGGTGTTAGTCCAGTTCATAAAATGCTTTGCTAATAAGGAAGCACAACTTAATGTAACAAGCACTATTTTAAAAAGTTGTCTTTATTTTTAGGCAACTTTGGATGTTGTAATGAATCTTCAGTTTCACTACATTGAGAAGCTGTGGCTGTCATTCTGGAGTTCAAAACCACCCTCGGGTGACGGCTCTACTGCTCTGCCTTCCAGGTGAATGACTGAACTCTGATCATCTAACTTGGGAGAGGACAATCTATGCAAGCTTTGTCTCCAGGCTAGATTCTTCCCCAATGACCTCTGGACCTTCTCAGCCCCTGAGAAGCATCTGCTGTAGCCAAGTCCAGAGCTGGATTCTAGATCTTTTGATCTCCACCTGTGCCGGCTACATAGAAAATGCTTTTTAGTCCAAATCCAACCTGCAGGCCACAGGTTGCCAACCACTCTAAGTAATTAGATGATACAAAGTTGTGGGAAGGAAGGCAACACACATTTATGAAGTACCTGTTATGTCCTTTACAAATGTTCTTCATAAATATTGTCTCATTTGATCCTATAATAGGTAGGTGAGGACACTGAGGCAAAATGACTTGCCCAGGGTCACATAGATAGTAAATATCTGAGGCTGGTCTTGAACTCAGGTCTTCCTGACTCTAAGCCCAGTGTTCTATCCCCTGCACCATCTAGCTGCCTAGAAAGAACCTTAGAAAGAACAAATGGTACTGTTTTCTATGTAATTGTCATAATATATAAGGAGAGGTTCAGATTGCTGACCCTCAAACTTTTCAACTTGAATTAAAAAATATATATTTCAGAGATCTTCATGAAACTGAATTAGAAAATACTAGAAATAACTTTTGTATGCAATTTGCTAGTAAGTTTAGATAAAATATATTCTCTAAAAAGCATACAGCTTCCTGCAAAGTGCAGGATGAGAAGACAGCTATTTATAAACAGGTAAGAAGCATCACTCTAATACAACATCTGAACAGGGAGAAAAACAGAGGAGTGGGAGGGGCCTGGTGATAAAAATAAAAATAAACCTAAAAAATATAGCTTTTTTCAGATTTCCTCGGCATGTTGTTAATATTTTCTGCTTATTTCTAGTGACTTTCAATAGGTTTTCATCAGGCAACCTCCCCTTGCATTAATTTGCAGAATGGTGTGGCTTAAAATAGCTACATTGAATGCAAGTGATGTTATTCTGTTCATTTCCATACAGTGAAGAAGAACATGAAGTTGCTGTCATCCCAAAGGACAAGCTTATTACACTGTGTAAATATGACCCTATATTAAAGTGGATGAGAAATTGTGATCACATACTGTATCAGGCTCTGGTGGAGATTCTCATCCCCGATGTGCTGAGACCAGTGCCCAGTAAGCAAATTGTGTTCCAAATTCTTATTCTAGCCCAGCTCTACTCTTCTGATGGTGGAAACATGTCTTTGTGCCCTTGTGTCTACTGGACTATACAGAAAATATAGCTTATGACAACATCGTACTATAGTTAGTGCCTAAGATGTTTTCTCTGTATGCAGTCTAGATGTTTTCCCTTATTACCAAACCAAGAAGAGAAAAAGAATGTCATCACCATCCAAGGCTGTTAATTCCTGTGCAGGCAAAAAGAGGTTGACGGCACTAAGAAGCATTAACCGAAGTTAAGCCTTCTTGAGTGCCTTGATTAGGATATGTTCATAAACTGGCCATGTTGGTAACGACATTAGTTTTTGTGACCTTTGTTATGAAATACCAGGCAGACATGTATGGGTTAAACCTCATGGGAAAGATCATTATTTATTTGGTTGGAACAGAGCTAGCTAGAATGGACTTTTTTAGGGGTGACACTTCTGGCCTTCATCTGCTGGATGCTGCTGGAATCTCTTCATAAAAATATTTGGTGGCATATTCTGCATCCTTCCCTGGTAACTGGTTTTAATTTCTAATTATCCTGTGCTCCAAAATCTCCTGATGGAATGGACATGACCTTGGGTTTTATAAGGCTATGTCGGGAGAGCTACAACTCCTACTGATCTGGAAACTTTTCCAGATGTTGAGAGGCTGCACCCATGAAGGAAATACCTATGGTGATGATGCCACAGATTCTTAGAATATTGAAGGCTATATCAGTCATGGGATTCACAGGTATATATTAAGTACCTACTATGTGCTATACACAATATTAAATGCTATTAAAAAAAGGCTTTTTTATGGAGATTCATTAATTCAATTATTCAACAAACACTTGCTTTAATTGTGTCCAAGGTACTGTGCTGGATACTGGCATAGGAACTGCATACATAAAACACAATGTCAGATATTATATGATCAAGTGCTAAACGGTATGCAAACAAGCAACAGGAATTTAGACAGATTCTTCCTTCTAATTGATATCTTTCTTGACACAAGTGAAATACGTCTTCCTCTGATTCTGTTCTCAGTAGAGGGAGAAGGAATAATAACTTTCCTGTATTTTACAGATTGTTCTTCCCTTAGTCTTCACTTCTGAAGGCCAGATTTTTTCATCTGTCTTTCTTAACCATCCTTTATTACATCATTCATATTGCTTCTTTCTGGACTTTATAGAGTTTTGCCATATCACTTAAAAAAGTTGTTAAGTAGCTAATACACAATGTAAAATGTGATGTGCCACCCAAAAGGACACAAAGAATTAAGGGAGTTCAGAAGACAGGGAGATCACTTTAGGCCACATGAATCAGAGAAAACTTCATGGAGGAGACAACATTCAAGCTAGGTTTTGAAGCATGGGTAGAATTTTGTTAGGCAGTGAGAGTGGATGGTTGAGTGAACAGCTTGGATAAGGGTATGGAGATGGGAAGCTCTAGGTCTGCTCAGGAACTGTTGAATTGTCCAGTTTGCCTAGAATGTACTGTCTACGTAAGGGCAAAATATTTGATAAGGTGAGCTAGATGGTAAAGGCCTTGGATGCTAGGTGCAGAAGTCTGGAATTTACTTGGTACAAAATAGGGAATTAATAGTTTTTGAATAAATAATGATACAAATAAAATTGTGTTTTAGGAAGACTGATTTGGTGGCATTGTTCAGGATGAACTAGAGAGGGTAGATGCTGGGATGGGGGAGGCTGATTGCTGGGTCATGTAGGTTAAGTAGGTTAAAGTGAGATGTCATCAAGAGGGACAGGACTAGGGATTGGCACAAATGAGATGGAAAGAAAGAGAGTGGCAGAGAGAAAAGATTTACTCGTAATAAATTATTGCACAAGAAAATCTTCTGTTGTTAATATTTTGGTTTTTCTTTTATAGGTACCTTAACACAGGCAATCCGAAATTTCGCAAAGAGCTTAGAAGGCTGGTTGACAAATGCTATGAGTGATTTTCCCCAGCAGATCATTCAAACAAAGGTAATTGGTTTGGAAAAAAGAGCCAATAGCTAGTTGTTGGTACTTACATTACAGTCAGTAAATCTTGATTGGAGCACCAAGTCTAGTCAAATTCTGTGTTCCAGGGATTAAATCCCTCAGCAAACAATGACTGAATGAATTACTCTGGACAGACTGCTAAGTAAGAGGTAAGGATTAAGTCATAAAACCAAGCATGGATGTACACTATCCTAATATGCTGTACCAAATCAGAATATGAGAATAATGTAAAGAAGGTAGATCTGTTGTCCTCTATTCTTGGAAAGTGTGAATAGTTCTTTGCATCAGATAGCCAGGTTCCTTTTTTAAATGTAATTAGAATAATTATGCTCAGGTTTCATTGATAGAGGAATAATTTGAGAATGAGGGAGGTCTATCCTTGGATAGAGCATATCTGGAGTACTGTGTAGTCCCCCACTTCTTGGCCATAAAGGAAGTACATTTCATTGTTTTTTTCTCAGAATTTCATTGGCTTTTCAGTTACTCAGAATTCAACTTCCTTTTAGTAGTCTTTATATTTACATTGTTGTAATCTTTGTATATTTTTTTTCTTGGTTCTACTTATTTTGCTCTGCATCAGTTCATGCAAATCTTCCCATGTTTCTCCAGTCAGTCACTTAGTAAATTTATTATGCCCCTTCTTTGTGTCAGGAACTGTGCTAAGAGCTCTGGATACAAAAAAAGGTAAAAGACAGACCCTGCTCTCAAGGAGTTTATAGTTTAATGGGGGAGACAATATGCAAATAGCTATGTACATACAAGATATATGTAGGATAAATTGGAGATAATCAATAGAGTGGGAGAGACTAGCATTAAGGGTGATAGGGAAAGGCTTCCTGTAGAAAGTGGGATTTTAGGGGGGACTTGAAGGAAGCCAGGGAAGTCAAGAGGTAGGGATGAGTAGGGAAAGCATTCTGGGTATGGGAGACAGCCAGTGAAAATGCTGAGAGTTGGTAGATGGGAGGAAGAGTACGAAGGCTGAGGTCATTGGATCTTGGATTATGTGTGTGTTGGGGGTGGGAAGCCCACATAGATATGGAGTAAGGTATAAGAAGATTGGTAAGTTAGGAGGGGTTTTTCATGTCAAACAGAGGATTTTATATTTGATACTGGAGTTTACGGAGTGGGGGGAGAAGGGTAAGGGGTAACATAGTTGGATCAGTGCTTTAAGAAAGATGAGTTTGACAACCAAGCAGAAGATATACTGGAATGAGGAGAGACTTGAGGCAAGGAAACCAACCAGAAGTCTTTTTCAGTAGTCCAGGCATAAAGTAGTAAAGGCCTATATCAGAGTGGTGATAGTATCAGAGGAGAGAAGAGGACACATACGAGAAATGTTATTATGGTAAAATTGACAAAAATTGGCAACAGATTGGATGTGAGGAGTAAGGAGTTGAGAATGACACCTAAGTTGCAAGCCTGGGTAGTCAACTGGGCAGATTTCGGGGGAAGGGATGTTCAAATTTGGACATGTTGAATGTAAGGTATCTATGGGACATGCTGTTTGAGATATCCAATAGGCAGTTAGAAATGTAAGACTGGAAGTTAGGAGAGAGGTTCGGGCTGGGTAAATAAATTTGAGAATCATCAGCATAGAAATGATCATTGAATCCATTAGGAGTTGATGAAATCATCAAACAAAATAGTATAGAGAGAAGCGGCCCAGGACAGGGTCCTAGAAGATATCCACTGTATAACCTGAACAGAGATACAGGAAATAAGACAAAAGATGTAGTCAGACAGGTAGCCAAAGAATCAGGACCGAGTGACCTAGAGAGCAGAGGGTATCAAGGAGAAGGTGACAAGCAGTTTCGAAGGCTGTAAATTCCACATATTTATCATTTTTTACTGCACAATAATATTCCATTACATCCACATATCATATTTTTTTCAGCCATTGTTCAATCAGTGACCACCCACCTTATTTCCAGTTCTTTGCTACCACAAAAAAAAAATGCTGCAGAATATTTTGTTATATAGTAAACCTTTGTTACTGTCTTCGACTTATTCAGCACATATGCCCAGTGGTAAGATCACCGGGGCAATGGCTTGTAGATAGGTTAGGCACTTCTTTTTTCATAATTCCAAATTGAAATACAGAAATACAGTGGCTGGACCACTTTACATTTCTGCCAATGGTGCATCAGTCTGCCTGTTATCCCATATCCCCTCCAACAGTGACTGGTAGATAGGTTATAAACATTTATTAAGCACTTATATGTGTCAGGCACTAGGGATACAAATAGAACAAAAAGAAAAACAGTTCCTACCTTCAGGGAGCTTATATTCTAGTAGGGAAGACAAAACAAAATAATGGAGTTTGGAGGAGTGAAGGTGAATAAGATGGGGACATGATGGCAAGATTTCGGAGTTAGAAGCATGGCTGGGAAGGGAAAGAAGCATGGTTGGTCTGAGTTCATTCTCAAAATGAAATCCCAAATGGAATTCTCCAATGGGAAGAGGGGGCTGGCGTGGCAGAGGGATATTGTAGGGTGAGAAGGTCGCAAGTACTAAGAGAAGTTCCAAGGTAGAAGGGCAGCTGAGGCAAAGTTCTTAGAGTCAGAAACACAGCTAGGAAATAAATAACTTCCCATCTTTTGTCATTAATGCCAATTTGCATTGGCTAGCCAGGTGGTGACGAATTTTTTAACCATGGCAGCACATGAAACAATAAACTGGGTATCAGCACAGCTAATTAAACTTGCTTAGTAATGATTTACATTTAAATTAATTTTAGTGTAATAAATATAACTTTAATCACTCTTAGGTCTTTATTTGAATTCTTTATTCATTTATCTTTATTCCCTTTTCTTCTCATGTAGATAGGTAATGTATTTATTAAGTGCTTACTATGTGCTAGGCACTCTACTAAATTTTGGAAATACAGATGTAAGACAGAAAAGATAATCCCAACCCTCAAGGACTTTCTATTCCAAGGGAAGGAGACAGCATATAAAAGGGAGCTGAAAGTAGAGAGGTGAGGGAGAGGGAGAGATGGTGGGAAAGTCCACATAGGCATTGTCCAGTTAAGGATGCTCTTGGTATGGAGGTAGAATAGTCATATAGGCACTGTGTGTACTCTTCTAGTTTGTTTGTGTTTTTACTTTCTGTTATTCAGCAAGTCTTTCCAGACATATTACTATTCTTATTTGTCTTAAATGTGTTATAATTATGTCATCAAGTCAACAAGCATCTGTCAAACACCTACTGTGTACCAGGCCTTATGCTAAGGATAAACAGGAGATATTCATCAGAAGGCATTAACATTAAGGGAGATTAGGCAAGCCTTCTTGCAGAAGATGGGATTTTAACTTAAACTTGGAGGAATCCAGATAAACCAGAAGATGGAGATGAGGGAGAGAATTCTAGGCATGGGGGACAGCCGGTGAAAATAATGCCAGAGTTAGGAAATGGAGTGTCTTGTGAGGAACAGCAAGGAGGCCAGTGTCACTGGATCACTGGTAGTGTTGGGGAGGGAAGGACAGAGTAAGGTAGAAGAAGGGAGGAGGTGAGTGTAGGAAAGAGAGCCTAGGAAAGAGCTGAGGAGCAGAGAGACTGGAGGTTTTGTCGAGGACAAAGAACAAATCTGGGGACTGCAAAGTAGAGGGAGAGGTGGAATGATAATAGACTAGGATAAAGGAATTTGTAAAGCACTTAGCATGGTGCCTGGCACATAGTAGGTACCGTATAAGAGTCCATAGGCATTATTCATACAGTGTCCTTTGTATCGCAGGTTGGAGTAGTGAGTGCCTTTGCGCAGACTCTGCGGAGATACACATCCCTGAACCACCTTGCTCAGGCGGCCCGGGCAGTCCTCCAAAACACTTCCCAGATAAACCAGATGCTAAGTGACCTAAATCGAGTGGACTTTGCCAATGTGCAGGTGACTTCCTAATGTTTTTCCTTCCAAAATGAGTAGAAATGAATGAATATCTTACTGTATATTACTTGATGTCTAAGATTCCTAGATCCAAGAAGGAATGATTGGTGAGGGAAATGAGGAAGGGAGAATAGAGGTTATGAGTAATTTGGAGCATTTGGCACACATTGACCACCTCACGTCATGTTCATCAGTACTTCTAAATTCTCTATTCTGTGCTGAAGTCTGGGGACATTGCCTCAGAAGTGTAGGTCCTGTCTGGGCAACTTTAGCCTAGAAGCACAATTGAAAAAAAAAAAGCAAAAGATTAGAGCACTAGGTTGACTCCAGTAAGATAAAGTCTTACACTTGGGCTCAAAAATTCAATTTTATAAGTACAAGATGGATGGTTTGTCTGAAAAAAGATCTAGGAATTTTAGTGGACCACAAGTTTGAGAAGAGTTAGCAGTTTGATTCTGTAGGCAAAAAAGCTGATGTAATATTGGGCTACATTAAGAAAGGAATAGATCCTAAGAAGAATTAGGTGATTGTTCCTCTGTACTCTGCTCTCATCAGGCTTCATTTGGAATCCTGTGCTTAGTGCTGGGCATCAAATTTTAAAGAAGACATTGATATGCTAGAGAGTTGGTAAAAAGGCCTTGTTCCATGCCATGTTAGTATTGCATAAATAGCTAGGAATGTTTAACTTGGAGGAAAAAAAAGGGAGTGAGGGCAGGTAGGCAGCCCTGGAGTCAGGAGGACCTGAGTTCAAATGCGGCCTCAGACATTTACCAGCGGTGTGATCCTGGGCAAGTCACTTAATCCTGTTTGCCTCAGTTTCCTTATCTGTCAGATGAACTGGAGAAGGAAACGGTAAGCCACCACAGTATCTCTGCCAAGAAAACCCCAAATGGGGTCACAAAGAGTCAACACAACTGAAACGACTCAACAACGAGAGGTGCTCACATGACAGCTGCTTTCAGGTGCTTGAAGGCCTCCTGGTATTTGGGCCCAGGAAGCAGAGGCAGGGACAGGAGCAATAGGTAGGAGGTTGCAAACAAGCAGATTTAGGTTTGAAATCAGTGAGAGCTGCCTCAAGGGCATGTATTCTTCATGTAATCACAGCTTCCCAGGTGTCCATCCTAGGCTCGCCCCTGTAGGCACTTTGTCCCATTGCCCTGTAGGCACTTTGTCCCCATTGCCCTGTAGATTTCTCTTTTCCATTGTGTCTCGCTCTTAGAATAATGCTAATTTTGGCAGGTATCAGGACACTGCTGCATCGGTAGGGCCCCTCCCTTACCACATCCTTAGCCCACCATTGATCTATGCCCTCCTTTTTTACCTTTTTTTCTATATCTGCCTTGAAATGTCCTCTGTCCATGTTCTTCCATTCCTCCAGTTGCCAGTTGCCCCCAGGGTTTCAGCTCCACCCCCCCCCAATATAGGACAAGCAGACTTTTCAGGCACCAAATCCACCAGGCCTCTTCCAGTGTAAGGTTGCCCTCTCCCTTCACAGACCATTTCTCTTTGCTATTAGAAGCCTTCATCAGTGAAACCCCCTCCCACCTCCAAAGCAAGACCTCCTTTCTTCCTTTCCTCCCCCTTCATTCTTTCTCCCTTCCTCCTCACCCACTTCCCTGTAGGCTCTTTTCTTTCTGAGACCACAGAGGTCACTGTTCCTTCATTGTTAGCCCTTGATTTGACCCCAGCACATCACACGCTCCTCTGTGTTCCCCTGGTCCCCTCCCTACCTCTCATGTACTCTACCATGTTGCAGTGTAGTCCTGAAAAAAAAAAAAAGCACTGATTCACCTGTAGGCAAAGCATCTCTGGGTTCTATCCATAATGCCCCTGTCTGCCTCTTCACCATTACCTTTACCAGAGTTCTGCCTGCGCTCTTCTCCCTGTGTACATTTAGAAAAAAGTTTCTTGGGGCAGCTAGGTGGAGCAGTGGATAGAGCACCGGCCCTGGATTCAGGAGGACCTGAGTTCAAATCTGGCCTAAGATACATAACACTTACTAGTTGTGTGACCCTGGGCAAGTCACTTAACCCCATTGCCTAGCAAGAACAAAAAACAAAAAACAAAGACAAAAGTTTCTTACTTGTCCCTTCAATTATTACTCTGTTGTCATTGCTGCCCTTGCCTGCTCTGTTCGTTCCTGCATTTCTGTTATTTGGGGTGTTCTCTTTAGTTCTGGTTTTCTTTCTTAAAATGCTTCAAATTCTTCTTAATTATTGAATTTCCATCTTTTGTTCTATGTAGTTAAGTTCAGATTTGCAGGACGGGCCATCCTGGGTTGCATCCTAAGCTCTCGAGCTCTTTGGAACACATTTTTCCATTCCCTCCTATGTTTTCTGGTGGGTCCAGAATAGTCTTACATTATTCAAATGCCCTCTCCTTTGAATTTGAAGGTTTTTCTTCTGGTCATTTATAGAAATTGTTGTTTCTGAATTGAATTGCTAAATTTAACCACTGTGTGTATTGGAGTTTGCATCCTTGGGTTTCTTTCTGGAGGCAATCTGTGAATTCTTTCAATTGGAATTTCATTTTCTATATTCATAAATTCTGGACAGTTCTCTTCTATAATTTCCTTCATTATGGTGTTAAGGTTTTTTGTTCTGTTGTGTTCTCCTGGGAAACCTGTGATCCATATCTTATCTCTTGTACATTCTATCTTCAAGATCAGCATGTTTTACTTAGAGAGCATATTTTCTTTAAATGTTAGTTTTTTGTTTCTTTTCTAAGTTGTCCTTTACTTCTGTGTATTTGCATTCCTAATCTATTGTTTTCTCTTCTGTTTCTTTGGTGAGGCTTGCTATTGCAGATTCCAGTTTTTCTTAATATGCCTATTATTTTTGCTGTGCGGGACATAAATTCTGCTCTCATAATTCTCATTTCTCTTTTGATCTACTCAGGAATAGCATGTTGGTGGTTCCATGTTCTCAAATTCCACACGGTCCTCTGTCTTATCAAATGTTGGATCGTTTTCCTTTGTTTTGCAGTATTTGACTCACTGATGTCTGAACTCATTTTCTAGATGTGGAGGCCATACTTCTTTATGTTGTTTCTGTTTTGCCTGCTGATTTATCTGTTTATGTTCAAGGTCTTAGAGTTTTCTTCTTCTTGAAATCTTTGATACTTTCTTCCCCGCCCCCTTATTTGCTCTATCATTCACTTTCTGACTGCCTCACCTATCATTGTGGTTTCTTTGAGGGGCTAGATCTCAATTTCTCTTAGTTTCCTCCCACACTAGAGAATTCATGGCTCACCAGCATAGCTCTCTGCCTTATCTGACTTTTGCGTAGTCAGAAGAACTGTCCCAAGCTGTGCCCTTTTTTTATTTTCGTGGTTGCTAAGAATGCTGCACAGCTCCCCACATGCATAATGTCCTGTCATGGTGCTGTCCCACTCTCTCTATTCCTTGTCTCTAACCCTAAATGCATACTGGCAGTTAAGAACGTTGCAGTACTGGTCCTGAGGGGTTGCAGTCCCCCTAGGCTTTTCTTCTTGTGGCCAAGCTGGCTGCCATGGCCTAAGACAACTGCTACAGCCTGGAGCCAGGGTCTCCACTAACACTAGAACGGAGCAGGAGGGGAGTGGGAGAGGACCGGGGCCTAATGGTGGGTTTTGTTATTTGCCTATATCATGTCCTTGAATCTGCTAGTATAGCCTTGTTGCCTGTAGTGTGGGAAGTATGGGGAGTGCTACATGAGCTCAGTCAGTAAGCATCATTTCCTGGGTTTGGGATTTTTTTAAACCCTTCTTTTGGATTCTGAGTGTGCTAGACCATAGAGATAGCTGAAGTTGCTTTATCTTTGACATATAATTCCTATTTTGGAGAGGTTTGAGAGGTCATGGGGAATCAGAGAAAATGTCCAGTTCTCCATCGTATTGCTCATGTGACCTGAAGTTCTCTCATAAACAACTGATTGTTAGTTCAATTCAACAAAACTTGATTAAGCACTTAATATGTGCAAGGCACAGTGCCAGATGTCTGACCTATAATGACAAAAACAAAAGTGCCTGCCCTCAAGGAATTTTCATTCTTTAATAAATACTTATTGAATGAATGACTGAATTCTACCCAGGGATATGACATCTACAAAGGTAAGTAAATACAAATAATTTATCAAGTCCTCTCAATTCCTTCTTTGCTACCCTTTTGACGTTTGTTCTCTCCTCTCTATTCCCTCATTGCTACCACCGCGGGTAGCACATGCTTTTATTGCCACCCACCTGAGATATTATAAGTGCCTTCTAACAATACTTCCCAACCCAGCCTTTTCTCTTCTTCCCCTTTGACCTTTCCCCTCCCCATTTATATTGCTCTTAGAATAATCTTTCTTATGTGTTAATTTGGCTATATCATCTCTCAGAAATCTTCAGTGGTTCTTTATTGTTCACTGAGTCAAGTTTAAGCTTTTCTGCCTGTCAGAGCCTTCCACTGTGGCATCACTCTACCTTTCCAAGGATATGTAATTATTATTTCTCTATGCATTCTTTACTCTGACTAAACTGGACTATTCTCTGTCCCTCAAACACCTCCTTCACTCCATGGTGAGATTCACAGTGTGACTTCTATTTCAAACTGTCCATTCTTTAATTTTCACTGAATTACCATCCATCCTTTGAAGCCCAACTCATAAGTACCAGGAAGCCTTCTCTATCTTCCTTTCCCTCCAGCCTATTAAGAACTTTCCTCCTTGAATCTCATGTAATATTATGTAATAATTAGAGATTTCTGAAATGATATGGGCTATCTCTGGAGGTAGTGACTTCTCCTTCACAATAGATTTTCAAACAAAGGCTAAGATGACCACTTGCTACCAACATGGTAGAAAGGAGATCAGACTAGATGCCTCTAGGGTCCTTCTCAACTCATGAGATTTTGTGTATTAAAGCTGTGTGTGTTGGTAGCTCTATGAGGTGAGGGACTATATTTCATTTAAACTTTGTTTCTTCTCCATCATCAGGCTCTGCAGAATTCACCAATTCCAGGTTGGGGGTCCTTTTTCCATATTTTTCAATTTTCTTTGAACTTCTACTTTACCCTTTTATGAAGTTGGTAAGACAATGACCTCAAAAATTTTTATTTCATTATTGCCTCAAGGACAAAATATAATCTATTTAGTCTATCATTTAAAACCCTGCAAAATCTAATTCCAAACTGCCTTCTCAGGCTTCTTTTACTCTGTTCCCCTTTATATTGCCTGTGTTCCAGCTGAACTGGACTGATTAGCTATTCCATGAACTTAACATTCCATCTTCTTCCTCTATGCATTCACATAGGCCATACCCCATTCAGAGAATCAATCTCTGCTTTTTAGAATCATTCAGCTCAAGTATTAATTCCTTTCTTTCTTTTTTTAATTTTTTCCCCACCATGGCAATTGGGGTTAAGTGACTTGCCCAGAGACACAAAGCTAATAAGTATTATGTGTCTGAGGTCACATTCGAATTCAGGTCCTCCTGACTCCAAGGCCGGTGCTCTATCCACTGCACCACCTACCTGCCCCCTTTTCTTTTTTTAATAGTATTTTAAACATTCATTTTTTTTATAAGATATGAGTTCCAAATTTTTCTCCCTCCCTCTTATCCCCCTCCAAGACGGCAAACAATCTGACATAGGTTACACATGTGCAATCATGTTGAACATATTTCCACATAATAATTCCTTTCTGATTTCTCAAATAAGTCTCTCTTATTTGATCTCTTTCCTCAGAATTTCCTAGGGTACCTTATCTGTCTTTTTTCCTTGCCTATCACTCCCTTTGTATTATACTTTTCCTTGTTGTATCCCCATCCTGCTTCTTTCCCAAGTGAAATGTAAACCCCTTGAAGACAAGGACTAGGTCATTTTAAAATTACATTCCTAGTGCTAGCATAGTGCCTTGCACATAATAGGCATTTAAATATTTGTTGAATTTTGAATTTTATGAAAAAGCTCTATACTGTTCCAAAATTTTATACCATTATTGTAGAAAGTATTATTAAAGATGGAAGTGAAGAAATTATCAGTCATTGATGTTTTCATATACTTTAGAGCTACCTGTCTCAACTCTGTCATTGAATTCTTTCCTGATTTCCTTTTGTGCTCACTCCCAGGAACAAGCCTCATGGGTGTGCCAGTGTGAAGAGAGTGTAGTACAGAAGCTGGAGCAGGATTTCAAGCTGACTTTGCAACAGCAGAGCTCACTGGATCAGTGGGCCACATGGCTCGATAATGTTGTCACCCAGGTTCTAAAGCACCATGCTGGCAGCCCCAGTTTCCCCAAGGCAGCGAGACAATTCCTGCTTAAATGGTCCTTTTACAGGTAAGTCCCAGACCCAGACATTGTCTTCTCAGGGGTTATGTAACCGTCCTCAGCTTCTGTGGTTCTGGAACATTCTGATGTTTGTACTAGTAAGTAAGTCTGAAGTAGAGGGATGGCTAAGGAACTGGCAGAGGTACCTTGTGCTAGTTCACACCAAGTCATGAGCTGCCTCTAGCCCATGCTCCTGATTGCTGACACAGCTCTAGGGTTTCCCAAGCTGTGCCAGGCAGACCCAGCTTGAGGACATCTTTATATCCCTTGATATGCCTAGCATAAAAGCAAGTATGTAATAGGCCCATCATCAATAGTTACTGAATCAGTGATTTGCCCAGAACAGAATTAATCTGGGAAGGCCTTCAGTGGGTGGGGAGTTTGTAGCTGCACTGAGATCAGGGTGGGGAACCTTTAGTTCCCCAACTGTGGCCCTTTGACTGAATCCAAACTTCACAGAACAAATCCCCTTAATAAAAGGATTTGTTCTGTAAAACTTGGACTCAGTCAAAAGGCTTTGTCCAAGGACCTGGAAGGCCACATGTGGCCTCAAGGCCGCAGGTTCCCCACCCCTGGGTAGACATTGACTGGTGATTAGAAGCAGAGGAGAGAATTGTGGACAGGCTTGGTGGGCACAGCATTTCTCTGACCATAGCTTGATATGATATTGTCAGTACAATGAAGAAAAGCCAAAAGGCTGAAAAGTAGAACATATACAAGCAGAATAATGAAAGATTTTCAGTGCTTTTAAACAAATAAAACCAACAATTTCTTGCTCTAAACATACATACATAGCTTAATGATTTTAGAGTAGTGATGTCCTGGCTAGCTATGGCTTCTTCTCCACAATTGTGCATTATTGTAGTTAAATTTATTCATGGAAGAGAAAAATAGTTGGCACAGTGTTTGAGAAATTAAATGCTGCTGCCCTGCTGTGAGGGGGTGTGGATCCACATTTACGTGGCTCCCTCCCAGATTAACTGCATTACCCTTGGTGGTGCTGGCAATGCAGAGCAGCATAGCATTTGTAAAAACAGCTCCTACACAGAAAAAAAGCCACAGCTACTCCATATTTTTCCCTTTCCCTTTATGTGGCTTTCGTGTTGTTGAACATTTTTTTAAGTTGCTTTTTCTTTTTCTTAATTGCCAGATTGGAAATGGGTAATAACAGTTAAGTGGTTTCAGAGCACCATCAATTTCCTAAATTTCTTGGCTCCTAGGAGATTTCAAATACACACTTTCATTAATTCCAGATCTTTTTTCCCTTTTCTGAACAAAATCACTTGCCTCTGGCAACATCCATAGATACTGTACCAGCTCAGGGGGGAAAAAAGTTTGAAATTATTAAATCCAGCTAGTTGTTTCCTCTTCTTACCAGATAGCCTACCTTTCTTCATAACTTTATTTTATTGATAATCACCCAAAACAATTGACATTATGTGTTTATGTCTCTTCTCTTCACTTTTTGTTCTTTTTCTTATTACAATTTATTTACTAGATTTTTGGGTAGAGGCATCTGAGTGTTCAAATATGGCACTATTTACATTGTGTTTGACTGTATTATGTCTGAGGGTGAAATTCTTTGCTTATGTGCCTAGTATGTATCACTAGGAAACATTCTTCACTTTAAGCTGGAAAAAATAGACTACCATACCAACAGATGTCTAGTTTTACAGTGTTTAATAATAATTATGCCAAAAGACTTGCATGATATGTGGTATGGTTAAATGATTTGAAATATTAAGATTAGAAAAGGAAGTACCCCATTGTAAACTCTGAGGACAGATAATTTATCTATGTTTCTTCAACACTTAAAGGCACAGTGGTCTTTGTACAGAGTAGGTGTTCAATAAATATTTATTAAATTAAATTTTTTTAAACTTAAACATCAAAAAATGGACTATTTCCACATACATAGCAGAACATAAAAACAGGATTGTATATGAAACTATGAATCTCCAGTTGACATTACTTGGGGTGTGTGTGTGTGTGTGTGTGTACACATATATGTATTGTATATATAAAACAGTTTATGTATTTTTATATATATATATATATGTGTATATATATATATATGTGTATATATATATATATATATATATATATATATACATACATACATACATATATATTTATCTTTGGGTATAATATCTGAAATTCCACATTACTTTCAAAACTTCCTTGCTTGTCTGTGCTTTCTTCGGCTCTCTTCTGTGTATTTTTTAAAAGTTTCAATGGAGCTTTTTTCCCCCCACTAGTATTGCCAACAACCCCTCTCCTAACCTTTCCCACAAATGAAAGACTAAGCAGATAAAAAAAAATAACAACTTCATAACAAATATGTAGTCATGTAAACTGCATCCACACAGCAGTCTGATGCCCCTTCCTCTGACCCCTTCTTCCTGGTTTTATATTCTTCTTTTCACCCAGCTGAATAATCAGATATAGCAAGTCCCACCCCCTAGTTCTTTTCTACACTAATGTATTCCTCTTTTAACTCTCTCTTCGCTTTCCCCTCTTAAAAACCTCAGAAGAGAACTAATCTGCTCTCAGTCCTCTGATTATGTGATTCATCTCTTTTAGTCATCTTTGAAAATAATAAACTTCTGAAGGAATACTTGTTTCTTCTCCCCATTTTAAAATAGTACATCACCATATAGCGCTTTCCAATTATTAAAAAAAAAGTTATCTATTTTTCTTAACTAACGATTACATTTCAGAGTTCACACTCAGCCTTTTTTTTCCATTAGAAATGCTTGAGAGCCTTTTATTCTATTAATATACTTTTCCCCCTGGAGGATTATGCTCAGCTTTGCAGGGTAAGCTATTTTTGGTTATAAGCCTTTTCCTTTTTTGGAATATCATTCTAAAATCTCCTCTTATTCATAGTTGAAGCTGCCAGATCTTGTATGATTCTAACTCTGGTTTATTCCTTGGATCTTGAATGCTTCTTTCTGAATGCTTGTGTTAACATTTTTTCTTTGACATGGGAGCTCTGGATTTTGGCTATGGTGTTCATTTCTGGGACTTTTCCTTTTGGGGTTTCTTTCAGGTGGTGATTGGTGGATTCCTTCTATCTTCTCTTAGCCCTCTAGCTGCAAGAGATGTGGGCAGTTGTGATTTTTTGAAATATATTTTCCAGGCTTTTTTTAAATCATGATTTTCAGGGAGTCCAAATATTCTTTTGTTGTTGTTGTCTGTGTGTTTGTGTTTTTTTAGGCAACTGGGGTTAAGTGACTTGCCCAGGGTCACACAGCTAGTCAGTGTCAAGTGTTTGGTCTCAGGCCAGATTTGAACTCAGGTCCTCCTGACTTCAGGGCTAGTGTTCTATCCACTGTGCCACCTCGCTGCCCCCGAATCCAAATATTCTTAAATCACCTCTCCTTGACCTGTTATCCAAGCCAATTGTTTTTGAGAGCAGATACTTTACATTTTGTTTTCATAATTCTTGCTGTTTCATGGAATCACTCATTTGTTTGGCCTACTGTAGTTTTTAGGGAGCCTCTTTGAGTAAGGTTTACCTTTTTTTCTTCTAAGCTGCTTATCAATCCTTTTTCCTTGAGCTTTTATTTCACTTTTTTTTTTTAATCTCTTGCTTCATTTCTTCTAGGTATTCATGTAGTCCCTTTAGGAAATCCTTTTTTCCTTTGAGTCCCTGCTTGAAGTTGTTACCTTATTTGGGGGAATCTCTAGATATGCAATAATTTTTTATACTGTTTAATGTCTTCTTTGGTTTACTCATCTCTGCAGCTTTAAGCCCTGAATTGGGGCTTTGTGCCAGGATTCATCCTCTGCTGCATTTTTGGATGGGTAGTTGGCCCATTTTGGATGGGTAGTTTGGTCTCATCTTTGGTTATCTAGGTTCCTGTGCTAATCCCCCCCTTCCTCCTAGGATTAGGCTTCCCTAGATCTTTGAGGTTCAGAACATGGAATCTTCCAGTGGTATGACTGTGGGTTTACAATCCCTGTGACTACCTAGGGGAAGCCCTTAGCTCTTAGTGCCTAAGGACAGAGAGTCCTACACACTAATGTGTCTCTGTTTCTTTTGGGAGACTATGGTCTTATTTGCTTATGCTGAAAGCCCCCTTTCCCATACCTGTGGGGCTTTTGGCTGAATGTACAGTTCTGGAGTGGAAGAAGTAATTTACTGTAGTTTTTTATTGGATTTATTAATCATTCAGTCTGGTGAGATTTTCAGGTTTTTGGTGGAGTAGGTGTGAGACTGTTGTTTTGCCCAAAAGTCCTATTGAATTAAGTTTTCTTAATTTAATGAGAATAGAAGACAAGCATTGGGTGTCTGGTCTTACTCTGATCAATGAACCAGTCTGAGTTAATATCTCATTAAAAAGAGCTTAAAATCATTTTTGTATTTTGTCCACTGACTCTAGAGAGGAAAAATATTTGGTATGTAAAGAATGAATAAAAAGGATTAAGTGTTGAGAAGTGTATAATACCTGCTGATTCAGACACCAAAATGAGAGAGTCAGTGCCTGATCTCACGAAACTCTGTTGTGCTGCTTCTGGTTCCTACCGTGTGAATGTTACCGTCATCTCCGTGCTCTGGCTGTCCACCACCAAATAACTTGTATGATGGGTGTGGCTGGAGAGGGCACTTCTACTTTTGGGACCAGCCAGGTAAATGGATCCCAAGGGTCACAAGGGCATTTTGGGATCATAAGAAACAACATAGGTGAAGATTTAATAATAAAGCCTAGTAATTACAAATGCTATACAGAAATGTGTCTTAACATTTTCCAGAACATTTTAAATAGTTTTCTGTTTTCAAAACTTTTCTAGCTCCATGGTGATTCGCGATCTCACCTTGCGTAGTGCTGCCAGTTTTGGTTCCTTTCACCTGATTCGCCTGCTGTATGATGAATACATGTTTTATCTGGTTGAACATCGAGTCGCTGAGGCAACAGGAGAGACGCCAATTGCTGTGATGGGAGAGGTGCGAGCTCTTTCCATCAAGGTGCTAATAACCTTGGACATAAATAGAAAGGACTGGTGTGTCACTGCTGCTATTCCTGTGATTAGTGCTGGATGGACTACTTGTTTCATTGAGAGTCTGAAGAATAAGTTATGAAAGCGTATTTTAACTTTTAAAAGAAATATAGTTGAGGGGGCAGCTAGGAGGCACAGTGGATAGAACTCCAGCCTTGGAGTCAGGAGGACCTGAGTTCAAATCAGGCCTCAGACACACGATACTCACTAGCTGTGTGACCCTGGGCAAGTCACTTAACCCTGATTGCCATGCCCCCCCCAAAAAAATTTATATATATATATAAATTGGGTAGAGATTATAAATACATTTTAAGCAAATCACTCTTAGATAAAGAAATGGCTCATGCAAGCCACAAATTAAGATTCAGAAGGTCCACAGGACTGCAGATGGCTTATAATTACTTGGTTAGAGACCAGAGTACTCCCAGGCCTTCAATGTAAATATAGCAAGAAAGATACCTTAAGTATTTCTGTTGGAGTTCACATGAATGCCAGGTTCTTTTATTCAGCCAATTCTTTCACAATGACAGCAACACCAGAACCTAAATGAAATTCAGTTTTATCAATTTATTTTACTACTTGTCCCATATATGCCATGCTAGATTATGTAAATTATCAAAATTACCCATTGACAAAGGATCAGCTTCTAGGGAACTGTCCCTCCTGCTTTTAACAAACACTTATACACTTTGTTTTTCCACTCTAGAATTCCTTCTTCCTTTCAAACTGAGTAAAGATCCTGGTGTATTTGGCAAAATAAAAGTATAGGCAGACATAATCAAAGATCTAGACATATCACAACTTTTACAAAGTAATAACTGTGGCCATCAAACAATCTGTAGGATGTGAAAAAAACAAAACAGTTTTGCTGATGTCAAAGTCACTTAAAACAAGCTCTTTGATGGCTGGAATGATGTCTAATCTGAGCTTTCTGTATTCCTTAGGCCTAACAGAGTATCTTATATGAAGCAGGTGCTTAAAAAATGTTTGTAGTATTCTGTTGTAAATTTTATTGACACCAATTTGAATCCCTTTATTCATCAGAAATGTTGACTTTTCTCTTTCAGTTCAATGATCTTGCCTCCCTGTCACTGACACTGCTAGATAAAGGTGTGTTAGCATTATTTGCTTGTTTCATTTATTTTTTTGGGGGGTGGGGAGATGGGAAATCTTAGATCCTTCCTGCTGTTTAGTGGGGTTTAATATTTATATTTTTAACTTAGCTTATTTTATCCTGTCTGTAATCAATAAATAGAAGCAGGAACTGGATTTAGGAATAAAATGGTAATATTTGCTTTACATATGTTATTTCATTTGGTTTTCGCAAAAACCCAGAGAGGTAGGTCCTATTACTATCCCCATTTTATGATATGGAAACTGAGGCTGAGCAAGGGTGACTCGCCCAGGGTCCCACAGTTAGTAAGAAACTGAGGCAAAATTTGAACTCAGGTCTTCCAGTCCAACACTCTATCTGCTATGCCCCTCAGCAGCCTCCATCTATTGTAGTACCAATAGATGATGAGAACCTAGCCCAGTGGGAAATGGGGTTACATCCAAAAAGATGTTCCCTACATGTTCAGGCTCAGCTGAGACGCAGAAAAGAGAAAACTCTGTTCTCACCACTGGGAAGTCCAAATACGTAGATCTTGATGCTCAACCTTTAGCTCATTTGATCCCTAGGCCCAGAGGAAAGCCAGGCCTCCACCTACCAGATTTGATGGCCAGTCCAAGGCTCCTCGTGCAATAATTTTGACTGGGCAAACTGAAAGACCCATCCTTGGGCCAAGGAAAGCTGAGAGGGAAGGGCAGAGAGCTTTGTAGGATAGTGTACTTTCCACTTTCTCTTCCTATTCTAGTGTGGAGAAGGGAGGGAAGGAGGAAAGAAATAAGCCCCATATGTGAAGGTGGTACAGAATACATATACAGAAATGAGCCCTAGCCAATTAGCCATTCACAAGGTTCTCAGAATCAGGCTATTCTTAATTGGCCACACACTTGAGCAATCCCATAAAGAACTGGTAGATATGAGGGCTAAGCCATTGTCAGTAAGCTTGGAAAGACTGTAGAAAACTGGAAAAGTGTCACAGGATTTAAGAATGGCAATATCCCAATTTTCAAATAACGGAAGAGTAGTCTGCAAACGATAGGCCAGTAAGCTTGACTTCAATTACTGACAAAATTCCAGGCCATAAGAGATTAATGGTGAACATCCAGACATGGAGGTGGTGATCACCCACACGAGTGGTGGAGCGCCCAGGGGAGAGTTACCAGGCTGGTGGAAGGCCTTCAGACTATACCTTACCAAGGTTAAGCCTGGAGAGAAGGCTTGGGGGAGGGGGAAACGACAGTTATTTTCAAGTGTTTGAAGGACTGTCTTGTGCGAGAGACACTAGGCTTGTTCTGCTTGGCCTTAGGAACAGTGGGTGGAAGTTGCCAAGAGACAGATCTAGCTTAATGTAAGGGAAACATTCCTAATAATTAGAGCTACCCAGAAATGTTATGGGTTGATTTGGAAGGTAGTGGGTTCCCCTGGAGTTCTTCAAACAAAGGCTAGTCAAGTCAACAAGCATTTATCAGGCACCTGTGTGTCAGTCACTGATGACTTCTTGTCACCTACATCAGAGGGGATCCTTGTTTTCGTATGGATTGGGCAAGATGGCCTCTAAGGTTCCTTCCACTTTGAGATTATTTATGTTTTAGCAGATTCCTTAAACACAAATCATCCTTTTCTCTTTCTTGTTTCCTCAATGCCAATTTACTGTATTAATTGTTGTCTGCAGATGACATCAGTGATCTCAGCAGTGAAACAGACACAGATGCCCGCGGTCTGAGTGAGCCTCTGGTGAAGCGGGAGCGCGGTGACCCTAATCACTCCCTACAGGACATCTAGCACTTTGATTTGTTTTTGAGCAGAAGAAATTTCACAGGATTTCAAAGGATCTGGGTTAGGAATTCCTGAAACTTGGATTTTATAGGACTCCACTCTATTAGTGCCTCTTAGATTATGTAAATGTTTACTTCTACTCAAGGAAGGGCTTCTGAAAAGGGGTCTGTACGTGTATAAAGGATGCAGTATTTTTTGAGAGGGAAAGCAGTTTTAAAATATTGTAGAAATTCAGATTGGGAAGGTGCTTCCTTCCCACTGAGTAAAAATGTACACATAGTACATTGTGGAGAGAGAGAGAGAGAGAGAGAGAGAGAGAGAGAGAGAGAGAGAGAGAGAGAGAGAGAGAGAGAGAATGAGAATGGATTCCGAGTTAAGTAGTCTGTACTTCTGTTACTTCAGGTAATGTTTCCATCACTGTGAATAAATTGCTTCCTTTGTTGGCATTCTGAAATGTCGGTGCCCAGTCCCAGCCAGAGTGACAGCTGCTTTAGGATGACTGGGGCACTGTGAGTTGGTCAGCGCCTTCTAGCGGTTCTTATTCCTCTGTGCACACATTTCTGCTGCAGCCTTGACTAGTTTTCACTGTGGTAGAAGCAGCTCAGGCAAAGTGTGAGAAGTGACAGATTTTCTGGTTTCCCTATCGGGCCTGTAAGGAGAAGTTCTCTGGCCCACATTTGGGAAGCAGAACCATATGTTTTACTGTACTTATGTGGCCTAAAAGGAGGCCCTGGCCTCTCTGCTTCCTTGTTGAGGGGCGTTTTATGGGAAGAATTAATCTGCCCATCTGGCTGCCTTTTTTTTTTTTAAACTGGGAAGTTTATTTTGCTGTAGGAGAGACAGGCAAACTTTCTAGAATTCAGATAGACTCAATATATGTATGAGGAGGTTTCTGTTTGACTCTAGATACCAAAGGATTTGCTAGAAGTAGCAGCTAACCAACAAGTCCTGTACTTCAGCTTCAGCAGCTCTCAAGCCAGGTGGCACAAAGACAAAATTACAGAATTAGAGCACATAGATTTTTCTTGTTTCTAGAAAAAGAACAGTTCCTAAGCTTCAATTGTTGGTTTTATTTTATTGGGAAGAAGAGTGATTTTTAAAAAAAATTTGTTACAGGTCATGTTTACCATCATGCCAAATTGCTAAGTGTCTGAAATGAGATTTTTACCAAATCTGTGAGCTAAGGGGGTAGTGGGTGGGGGTGGGTTATCAGTGTTATAGGGCAGTGCCTTAGTGAGGACCAACTAGCCTGCTTTATTTTCCATTTCTAGTTGATATTCAAACAGATGTGCCTGTTACTCATAATACAAAATCTGAATCTATCTCCTTTCCCCCTCATTAATTGCCAAGGACTGCTTTGAGCTAATGACACTGTAGCAATCTGATGTGGGGAAACCACCGTCTTTGTATTGTCTCAGTACATAAATGTTCTCCTTTGTGGAAGAAGAACACAAATGCCTTTGCGGTCTTGAACTTCAAAATTTTGTAAAACATTAACATTTGCATTATTGGTTAGCTCCATGGTAACAATTTTGTGCCAAAAACCAAATTGCAAAAAAAAAAAAAAAGGTCAAACCTGGTTTAGCATTACATTATGAAAGGTAATAGGTTTTTTTTTTCCTGGAAATATGTTTATACTGATAGTTTTGTGCTCTGATGATTTTCAGGATTTTCTTATAAATGTGTATATTTGAGTATATTCTGTCCCAAATATTCTCCTATTAATGCAGAAGGTACTAACGAAACTCAGATGGCCTTTTTAAAATGACTTCATGAGAAGTGCAAGATGTGTATGTTGACAGGGCTCTTTACATTCCTAAGTCTATGTGGGCTTGTACAGGAAGACTAGGGGGTAAAGAAAACACATTTTTATTTCAGAAAATCTGTAATAATTACAGGGTTGTCTGGTTGGATGCTTCAAGATCTATAATGAAGCAGGCCAAAAGAATGTTTTGTTTTGTTTTTTAGAAATCTATCCCTTTTCCTAGAAGAAATTTATGCTAATTTTTTATGGAATGTGATGAATTGGTTTTTCTTTCATGTGTGGTAACCCAACAGAAATGAACTTCTGCCTCATGATACATCTATTCCTTTACAACAGTTCTAACAAGCAAAGATTAAGAGTCAAGCACGGGTGTATACCACAGTGACATATATTTGATTAGCTCTTTTGATAAATGCCAAAACTGATGTGCACAAAAATCTCATTGACACTTTCATTTTTAATAGCAATAAACATATTGAATGTGCCCATCTTGGAGATAACCTTCCATGCTTTGGACTGTGGCTTTTTCTTTCATTATCTTTTTGTTCTCCCAGACGGCCCACTTGGGCCCCTGGTACCTGTGGATAGACCTCTCACTCCTGCTGGTTTTCATGATAAAGCCAAAGTGGGATTAGAGTGAAAATACAAGGTGCATGGAAAGAAGTGAACTGTGGGGTTTTATAGCCAGGCTGCTGCCCTTATCGTGCCAGAGTACGGGATCCTGGCCATGACTGAGACATAGCAGGCACAGTCTCCTGCACTTTTGTCCTTGGCCCTATTGATGGGGGACTTGTGCTCATTTCAAACATCTGACCCTCACTCCAGCTCCTTACCATCTTTAACCAGATCTGCCCACTGCGAAAATTAATCATTCTGCACCAGTGTTCTCACACACACACACACAGAATCATCTAGAACTGTCTGCTCTTGCACTTTTTGGGGGAGGGGGGAATGAGGCAATTGCGGTTAAGTGACTTGCCCAGAGTCACACAGCTAATGAGGGTTATCTGTCTGAGGCTGGATTTGAACTCAGGTCCTCCTGACTCCAGGGCCAGTGCTCTATCTACTTCGCCCTAACTCTTTTACTTTTCAGAAGTATTTGAATGTGGTTCTAGAAACTGGCTTCTGAGATGTTGATAAAAACTACACTAGCAAAAATTGTTCCTTGGACCCAAGAAGAACCATAAAAGGATTGTCTCAGGAAGAAAATGTTCAATGTGAAAACAATTCAGAAAGCAAAAAAGAGCAGAAAGAATTGATGTTTCAGTAGCACTAAGGTTTACAAAGCACTTTCCATACAACAACCCTGTGAGGCTGTATTAATATTCCCTCATTACAAGTAAGAAAACTGGAGCCCAAAGAGATTAAGTGATATGCTTAGCATCTCACAGCTAGGAAATGGCAGAATTAGAATTCAGACTCATGCTTCTTGACTGCCAACACGTGGTTTTAGTGACCCACGGGGCCGTGTTCATGTTGTGGCTGCTCAAGCTGGTACTGCTATATTTATTACATTTCATTTTATGAGCTGAGGAAATTTAGAGGCTCACTAGGGAGCCCAGGGTTTCTAGTGCATGGAGATGTTCATCCACCAAATCTAGTAGCATCATTTCAATAAAGAGGCCATTATGAGAAGTTACCTCTCATATACTAGTGCCAAAGCTACCCACCCAGTCACGAGATTGTCCCTCAGTCCACAAACAGGATTGAATGTCTATTCTGTAGGATTTTGAGTACAGTTTAAATTTAGTACACCAGAACAGTATTAGCATTTCAGATGTATTAAGTACCTATTATGTGCCAGGCTAGCATGCTGGGAATACCAAAAAAGGCAAAAGACAGTCCTTCCCCTCAAAGGAGAATGGGGGAAGGTGCCTAGTATGGGAGTGGGGAGGCAGCTACGATGATCTGAAGCCAGATGGGAAATGATGAGTTGTAGTATTGGACTTACATGGCTCATCTGGGAGTTCTCTAATGTCAACCCTCCACCCTCAATCATAGGGGTTGAGGGGTCCCAGAGCCTGGAGGAACTAAGAAGTGAATTTCGGAGTTGATTCAGTGTTGCAGAAAGATTGCCAACCTACATAGCCTTCAGACCCTCAAAGCCAAACAAGAGATTTTGCACTTGATCCTGGAGATAACCAAGAGCCGCTGGTGTTTATTTAATAGGGACTGGATGATGTGGTCAGACCTGTGCTTTAGGAAGATCCATTTGACAGCTGAGTGCAGGGTGGAGTGAAGTAAGGAGAGCCTTAAGGCAAGGAAACTAATTAACTGGCTGTTTTTGTAGCCTAGGTGTGAGGTGATGAGGGTGGCCGGGTCAGAAGGGGGCACATAGGAGAGATGTTACAATGGTAGAAAAACAGGACGTAATTCTTGATGATTTATAGATTACTGATCACCATTTAAGACAAAAGAGTTTGGAGTTATGTACCATCCCATCTCTCAGAACACAGAAACACTCATATACATAGTGCTTTAAGGTTTAACAAAGCACTTTCCTCACAATCCTGTGAGAAAATATTAGAAAGCATTAATTCCAAATATGAACTTAGATGAATTTCTTCCCAGAACCTCTGAATGAGAAGAGGGCTTAGAGGCATTTAGTCCAATCCATTCTCCTCAATCAAGAATCCCCTCTACAATAGATTATCTAGACTTTGCCTGAACCTCCATAGTGAGGGAACCGCCCCCCCCTTCAAGGCAGCCCATTTCAGTTTTAGATAGCTCTATATTCCCAGAGTATATATACCTCCTGGAGGTTTTTTCTATCATGCCACAACCCTTTCTTTTTACAATCAATGCTTTCCACTCAGTGCTTCCAGTTCTGCCCATTAGATGGGTCAAGTAGAACAAATCTAAAACTGTCTTCTATGTGACAGCTCTTCAAATACTCAAAAGTCAAAAAGCTAACATGATGCTCTTTTCTAGGTGACAGCCTAAGTGCCTTCACCCAGTTTCCTATGACAACCCACTGCTTTCACCATTCAGTTTACCCTCCTGTGGACACATTCCAGTTCACCAATTCTTTCCTGACATGTGGCTCATATGACTGGGTCCAGGCCTCCAGAAGTAGTCTGACCAGGGCACGTAGTACAGTACGGCTACCACTTTCTCCAGAAGCTGGAGAAGTTAGCTTCTCAAAGCAGCCTAAAATGTTAGGTATATTTTTATGTTTTTTACTGCCATAACACACTGTTAACATATTGAGTTTAGTCTATTAAAACCTCTAGATCTTTTTCAGGTGAATTAATGACTAGTAATGCTTCCCCCATCTTAGTTTTTTGAACTCATATTAAGACTTTATATTTATCCCTATTAAATTGCATCTTATCAGATTTAGCCCATCCTAGTTTATCAAGATCTTTGTATCATCCATAAACTTGATAAAACATACCATGAGTGCATTTATTTAATTGCCAAAAGTGTTCAGTGGAACAGATCCCCACAAGACCAGTCGGCATAAAATGGTGAATATCGTTTAGCTTTATTCAACCAGTTCTGAATTTGCCTAATTATACTATCACCTAGCCCACCTCACTTCCTGTTGTCCACAAGAATAGACAAAGACAGGCTTTGTGAAACTGTTTTCCAATGTTAGTCATTATCTTTTCTTGATGACACCTTTTGCTTGTCTACTAACTTGCCACATATAGTGGCCAGGCCCATAATCAGGCTACTGGAGAAACTGAAAGTGGTGGATCTCCTAAGCTTGGGAGCATTAAGTTGGTAGTAGGCAACCTATTGGGTGTCTCTGGGTGTGTGCACTCAGATGAGAAGTCCTCAGGAACAGGGGGCCATCAAGTTGCCTAAGGAGCTGTAAAGAGGCACAGGTTAAAAGCAGAGTGCAGTTCAGTGCAATGTGACCAGAGCAGAGCAAAGCTCCCATGTCAGTGAAAGTGGAACGAGGGAGTAGCCCTGCACTTCCACCCTGGGCAAGATAGGGAAGCCTAATCTTTTTAATAAAAACAAACCCCCCAAAACCATTCCTTTTTGGAAAATTGGGACATTTGCTCTCCCCCAGTCCTGTGGCACCTCTTTCTGCTCTCCAGTACAGTGGCTCAGCCTTCACCTTTCCCTGTTCTTTGAGTAACATGGAAAGGAATTCATCTGTGCCTGGTGACTTAACTCATCCTTGGCAATTTGCTGTTCTATTCATCTTGGGTATGAACTGTTAGTCATTCATTTTTGTCCCACCTCCTCCAGTCTTCAGTGATTGTGCCCCTCAGCAGAGAAAACCAAAGCCAAGCAAGAGCTGCACAGCTCTACCTTCCATCCCTTGTCAGTTATCCTGGAGCTCACTCACCTTGAGCTTGGAGTCCTTGTTCCTTTCCCCAGTAAATCTTGTTGTTCTTCGCTTTCCTTCATGGATGTGGCTCATTCTGAGCTTTAGGACTTTTGACATGATTCTCATGGGGCCAGGCTACAATTTTATGTTCATTCTCCATTACCTGCTCTTTATTTCATTTTCTAGACTTGTTTTATTCATCTAAGTTGGTGGTTGACTTCCCTATGTGTCTATATTTATGTTTAGACAACTAAGATTTTTTTTTTCCAATGAAATTATTTATCTTCAGAACTTCATTTGTGAGTTTTTCATCCTTTCTGGGTTGACTTCCCTTAAGGAATTTTAGTCTATCCTTTTTTAGAACCAGAAATCTAGGGTGGATTGCAGATTGTCTAGGTCAGGGGTAGGGAACCTGCAGCCTCGAGGTTCCAGACTATGTCCCCGTAGCTTTGGGCAGCCCAAACTAAGACTCAGGGAAAAAGCTTCCTCAGTTCAGAAAGCCTAAACTTGGCTCAACCAAATGCTGTGCTGACCTTTGGATAGGGCAGATTCTGAGTGGGCAACTCCTCTGGTGTACATTATATAGACACCCTGGACAGAATGCTATAAAGCAATTTCAGGAGAGCATTCCATATAAGGCAGGAAGCCAAGATAATTCATGAAATGGTTAAAAACAAGGATTTAAATAATGCACAACCCTGGGAACTTAGTCAATATAATTAAACAATAACTGGCATTTATATAGTACTTTAAGGTTTACAAAGTATTTTGCATATGTACATTATATATCTCACTTAATCCTCAAAACAAACCATTGGGTAAGTACTAATGTTATGACAGCCAAATATTTATTTAGTGTCTACCACTGTATGCAGAATACTATACTAGGTACAGTAGGAGATAAAGTTTTTGACACTGTCCCACCAAATTTAGACTGATAGAGAAACAAATACATAAAATTCCGTAATGACTCATAAATACATTTTTACCAACATTAGGTGGTAAAATAAAGTGAGAGGTCTCAACAGGAAGGCTATTAGTGACGAGGTGGGAGCATGTAATCAAATAAGGCTTTGTGAAGACCTTTTTTTAAAAAAATTAGATATGCACAACTCCAAGCAATATATTTTAGTAGCTCTTCTTACAAGTCTGGCTCCTATATTTTTTAAACCATGGTCCAGAAATGCCAATCTTGTTTTCAGATACCATATTCCTAC